ATCCAGTTCAAAACAAGATATTAAAAAAAAAGTCTGCATGATTATCAAACCAGTCACAATCACAGTCACAGTGGGGTTCAGGTGTACTGTAGAGAAATCCTGGTGGGGATGTAAAGTTTCTTCAAAAGTTAGGAAGCAGTTGGCACACATATTTTGCCTTGCAAACAAACTATGGGCTTGATTAAATACAGCCAATTTGTTTAAGAGTGACTGGAGGTGGGTTTTTAACAAATCTGAAAAACAGCAGGAGAACCATCAGACCTCCTACATCCAACATTTTGATTGACTTAGGTCTTCAGTCACGGATTATAACATTATTTATGTTCATGTAACAACAAAGTGAAAGGAAGTTACAGATTAGTAAAAAAAATAAAAAATTAAAACCCAGCAGTAAAATATAAAATATTTCTATATTTATTTATTTATTACTTTTTTTCTGTGTGGAAATGCATTTGAAAGTGTTGACATTAAGCTCAGCTGGAATGATGCATTCATGTACAGTCATTACATAGCTCATAAATATATTTCTGTTTTACAGCCTCCTCGTGTGGCTCAATGCTGCTTGTAGTTTCCCATCCCTTTTCTCCCCCCTGAGGTCGACCATCACTAATTAAATCTTAACCTGTGGGAGAAACTCAGTGGTTATGCATAAATAACCGTTCATTCATATTTCAGAACAGCAGCCATCTCGCCTGCTGGAGACCTCTGACATGTCGCTGGCGTATAATCTGTCTGTGATTGGAGACCTGAACCTTTAACTGCCCTTCAGGGTCGCTGGCTGGTCACACTCAGCCTCCCATACACACATACAGATTAAATTCTTACCTGTTCATCAGGCTTATTTTGTTCACCATAACAACATAGACATAAATTTACATTAATTATTATTATTATTATTATTATTTTATTTATTTAATTCAAATAGATTCATGAAACTTGATGAATAATGGCACACAGTGGCTGGCTCTTGATTTGGCTCGCCCTAATCCTTTGGGAATTATAGGATCCAGTTTTAGCCACTAGTTGAGCTTGTGTCTTGTGTTGTTATCTAACTCATCTTGGTTGAGAAACACTTGCTAAAAACCTGAAATTGAGAAAAGCAGTGAGAAGGGTGGAGATGGGGAAATTTCAGGATAGCAGTTCATCTCAGGGGATAAGGGGTGGGGGCAGTAGAGGGGAGTGACCACAGGCCATTTCCCCAGGCTAATGGGATGGGAATCCCTGGCAGCGGGGGCTGGTCGGAAGGGATTTAATGTGGGATTCTGCAGATGATATTGGAGCTTGGTGGATACTATCAATTTAAAACCAACTATCTTCCTCCACAGATAAAAATAAAGCTCCACATGGCTCAGGATTTCTTCTTGTTCTGCTATTATTTGTTATTTCAAGAGGGTTGAGTCCTCAGTGAGGTCTCAGACTGTCATGCTAAATGCATGTGGCTTTGATTTAATTGGAACCAGCCGCAATTATCGGTGTTAAAACACCACTCAACACGCAAAATCTGCCTGCTCTTATCCGATAATGTGTTTTTAGATCTGTTGACAAAGACCCTCACATTTACTTAGACAATAACATTTTTGACCCCCGCACTGAACTCTTCCAAAAGACAACTGAGCAGCATATAACATCTGCATTCTTTGCTTAGAGGGTTTAAAAGAGAGATAGAGAGATATTATTGTCCCATACAGCAGGATGCCTCAACAAATTACTGCTAATCTGGACAATGTTAAAGTTCGGTCCAATGATATAATACTTTTTTTTTTTTAAACCAGTAAGCTTTGGACACTGAGAGGATTATTTGCTTTGTTTATCACAATACACAGCTCTTAATGGTGCACAGTATGATGACTGTGCTGTAATCCCTTGTTATCTCTTCATGTCTGACACATACAACACACACACACACACACACACACACACACACAGAGAGAAAGACATACTTTTGTCTGAGGTACACTGGAGAGGATGTCTAAGGAAAGTACAGATGAGTCAACACTGTAGCAATGTAACAAGGATTTAGCAGGAAAAGGCGCTATCGGTAACATTAGTCACAGGTCTGCTGGGAACTGTGGATGGTAGCTTAGTGGAGGAAACGCACATGTTCACTAGGGATTGAATGAGACTCATTACAGTAATTAAAACCTTTCCACACCTGTTTTTTCATCCTGCACAATGAGCATTAAGGAGGCTGCAATGCCTATTCACCTTTGGGAGCTTACTGTTGGACATAATCATCTTGTTCAAGTCATATCATAATGAACATGAACGTGCATGTGGGTGTTATTTCTTTAAAGTGTGGCTGATGTGGTTGCCACAGCAACTGCCCTAGCTGGCTTGTGAGGCAGTGTGGGGATTGAAGGCAAGCCCCGTTACCTTAATCAGGACTGCTTCCCTTTCTCTTTCTGAGCGGCAGACTTCAGTCGTCCCCTGAATGGATGATGGGGGAGGGTCTCTTGCTTTGAAGGGGATAAGGGTGGTGTTGATGGTTGGGGGTGGGTGCGCGGTTTAGAGTTCAGGGTTTCAGACGAGTGCCACCTCCTGTGCACGAGCTTGAGAGCAGACAAAGAGGGTGGAGATGGAGGAAGTGACAACTAAAGAGGGCATATGTGTGTATGAGAGACTGAGTGGGAGGAGAGAGAGTGAGGGAGGAGAGATCAGTGGCAGAGAGGATGCTCACTGGGAGTGTGCGGCAGTCTAAAGAGCTGAGAGTGAGGCCAGCAGGTGAACTGATGGAAAGCAGCAAGTGAGCTGACTGAAGCTGGAGAGGGAGACGTGAGTAAACGGAGACAAGCTGAGAGAGAGAGAGAGAGAGAGAGGAGATAACTGTGAGAGAGAGGGAAGGAGTGGGAGTGAAACGTTTAACTAGAGGAGAAGCGTAGACTGTGAGTCATCTGCCTGAGTGCTGGTCACTGTCCGGACTTCCCTGGGAGCGCCCAGCGTACAGCTGCCACTGTTTGAGTAAGTTTGCTGCTCCGCTCCACGCAGGACATCGGGTCGCCCAGATGACAAGATGTGACTTCTTCACACAGCTGATTTCTGTGGTGCATCGCTAACCAGCTGGGGTGTGTTATGTAATTTGTTGTGGTGTTGGGATGAAGCTGTGGCTTAGAGCTGCAAACTGATCTGCAGGAGGGCTTACATGGAAACGCTGTACACAGAGCAGGCAGGTGTGTGTGTATCAACAGCCATCTGTAATCTGTGCTGCACAACATGCTTGTGATGAAGGACCAGTTTGTAATGGACTGGAGTGGACATTCCTTCTGTCACTTTTACACTCGTGTCTGTTTTCATGCTGTTAGAATTGGATATAGATGGTTTATCTTGTAGCCAATTTATGTCTTTATTATTTACTGCATGTTTTGTACTGTACTATATGTGCAGCATACTTTTTAGTATAATTCAATATCTATATATAAACCAACTGTTAGAAATGAAAGCATTTTCTTTCCTATAAATGCATGTGTGTTTGTGTGTGTTGTCTGTGTGTGTCTTGCATCCATCTATTGTGCATCAGTTCTAATTAAGAGTTCAGGGCAGCTGATGCCCTATCGTGTCCTGTTCTCCCATGGGAGAGCTGCTGCTGGGGCTCTTTCATGTTTATTGAGCCTGCTGAGAAAATGTCCATATTCACAATTGTTCCCATTTCATGTGGATGATGCAGGAACTTCTTTGACTCAAGATTCACTCGTTGTGTAATAGCAGGCAGCGCTGTATGTTAATGATTCACGCTCACTTTTCTTCACCTATATTTGATTCTGAGTATACTGCTTGAATGAAAAACAGATTTCAATCTTGGTCACTGTCCCTCTTGAGCAGCTGTTTGTCTTATCTAAATCCTCAGCACCCGACCAGCACAGCTCCTTACATTCACTCATATAAGTTATTACTGTTCCAGCACAGACAGCCACACTATCTGCTTGAAAAATAATTAGTTTTTCCAGTTCAAGAGTTGTCCATTTTGACTCATTGAGTTATTGAATGCATTGAATAATATTTGAATGTTGAGCTTCTTGTCTTTTGGCTGCTGGAGTACACGGCACCTTGTAGATACAGAGATATGATGCATATTTCCCTATGGCTGCCTTCTTTGATCATCACAGAGAACATGCATTTTTCACTTTGCATTATCACTGCTAATGATCATTTCAGATTCCCTTTCATACTGGTCGATCACTTTGTGTGTTTGAAATAGATTGGATTAATCAAACAAATTGAAAGCCTGCAGTGCAAACTGGCCGGTTGTCAGTGTCGATAGGACGCCATATTCAGCAGGGTTATCGATCAGTGATCCTGTGGGGATAAAGCCGTCCTGGTAGAGATATTGAGTTTAGAGCAAAGGATGCGTGACAGTAGTATTGCTCAGCTTTGCATTAGCAATGTGTTCTCCTGGGTTTGAGATGAGAGATGCTCTGTTTGAATAAATGTGAAACTACGGGTATTGTGTCCCTAGATCCCTGAAGTGTTTCGGAATAGTGGCTTATACACTAAAAGAGATGAAGAATCTGCACAGAGGACTAAGCTTTGATATCTTTTGGCAATGAAAAAATCATACATTATTATTACAAGTGTTATAATAATATAATATCAGTTATTACCTAACTTGTACGTCCCTAGAGGTTATATGAGTAACAATTTAGGCTTATAATGAATGAATGTATTGGTGAGGAAAGCATTCGGGAATCAGGGTTAATTTTCTATCACTGCAGATTAGATAAAACAGATAATTCCCAGTGAGAAAATAAGGGATGTGCTTCACTTTCTAGAGATATAAGTTTAAAAAAAAGAAAGAAAGAAACCATAATTTTAACAACAAGAAGCCCACTCTCACTAGGCTTCAGGCCATTGCAGAGCCTCAGACCAGCAGTCCATACAAATTCATTCTGTTGCTAAATAAGACCAACAACATTTCCCGAGGCAGTACCTTTTGATGTCCTCTTGCTTGATCTCAAACTGAGTGACCTTTTCTGACTGAATGTTCTCTTGCTTCTGTCTGATTGTAGGAAACAAGATGGGAATGACCCCCGAATTTCTGCAACACTAGAGCCCCAGCTGTTCCAGCCTACACTCCCATACACCACCTCACCATTCCACAAGGTAGGAGGAGAACGAGGGGGGTTGAGTTTGCACTTTGACCCCTGACCTTATCCGATGGACCTCTGTGTGACCTTTCTTTCAGCAATTTTTGTTAGGTGTCTCTGCTCGTCTTGTCTCTACACCTGCTTCTGTCTGGATCATTGGTTTGGATGCACTTTCTCAGAGTTCTGACTATATTTAATCTCTCATGACCATGTTAGACTTTTTGTTTGCGGTTACTTTGATTTGTATTCTTGTCTTCTTTTGTTTAACTTGCGTAATTAGAGTGCACAGAGCTCTGTGTCTGGGACGATTATGTTTGCCTGATTCAATTAATACAAATCTATTTTTAGCCGAAAAATGTCAGCTTGACGCTGACAGTTTCTCAATTCAAGCTTAGCGAGTCTGATTCCATCAAAGCAAACAAAATACAGCCTGTCTCAGCAATTGTCTTTTTTAATCAAAAGAAAAACTTCTTCGCCCCCACCATCATCCAAGATAATCGTCACCAAATTGGAAAGTCAGTCTTTTTTAACCACTCTTTGTCTGGGGTTCAATTGTTATCCAGTTTTACTTCAATGTCATCTAAATATAATCAATTATTTTGGCAGGCTTTTTTTAAAGATAAGCAGAAATTTCTGCTGCTAACGTGTGTTTTTTAGCTTGCAATATATTTTCTGGAGTACACTTTGTAAGATTCATTGCAAAGGGGGCCCATTCAATTTGTCTCCAGTTCACTTGGAACAGTTTTCAATGATTTTACAAGATTTTCAGCCTTCATGAATCGGTTTAGCTTGATCTATTCTTCTTCTTGTCAGAGGAATTCATATAAATAAAGAATTAATTGCTGTGGTTATAGATCCAGAATATAAAGGGGCAGAAAGTGGAAGTGATTAAGGAGGAAATCATTTCAATAAATCTATTTAGACTGTCACAGTAACTATTAAATCCATCTCACTGTCAGAATATTCATGTCTACCTTTTGGCTCATCATTATAAACGAGCGACTGACGTGAAAAACCTCTCTGGGATATTTTGGGAACTTAGAAACAGAACAAAGCTGAGCTTGGTGGTGATTAAAACAGGATACAATCTCACTCACTTCAGATTGGTTTCATAAGGTCTCTCCCACTTTGGAAGGGGGTTTATACTTTTTCAAATCTAACTTGATCTGAGCAGAGCAGAGGGAGTCGGAGGAGAAAGGGGATTAAAAGAGAATTTAGAGATTGGGTTGTTTAACCGTCACTCCTGATCCCTGCAGTGCACACCATCTGTAGGTGCCTCAGACTTACTAGTTACAATTAGTCAGACATGAGGATAGGATTCGTGAAACGTCTGTGTGGTACAGATTTGCATGACATGGAAGAAGCCAGCAAAGGAACCAATGAAGGTATTCCAGACTTGGTTTATAGCATTTTCCCCATTTTTATTCACATTCACATTCAGGAATACCAGAAAAGTGCATTACACATCGGGTTTGTAATTGCACAGAAGAAAACACTTACTTTACTACACTCTAAAAGGTGCCAGCAGCAGTTAAAATGCAGTTGTGTTTCATATTTGATCTTTGTAACCCCATTTTATTCAACCCCCTTTGATCTGGAATCCAGGAAAGGAACATATCTGATCTGTTAATTTGATGTACTGCAATATGATAAGGGCTTAGTGGGGCAATACTCAGAGGATGGTATCACTTTAATCAGAGCCATGCGAAAACCAGGTCAATCTGCAATTAACCCCACCAGGTCTTATGGTCACTGACTAATTCACACCACACTGCTATACTGTCATATTAACAATGTTGCATATTTATGTGAGAGGAAACACAAACAGTGAGTTTGCAATACAGTCCCTCACCACAAGCTGATTAAAAAACATGTATCTAAATGGCTCAATGTTTTGGGGTAGAGCTCTTAGTGCAGCTATGGTTTATTTTGTCTTTCATGTTATCATAAAATCTGTCTCTCTTTTCTCAGAAGTTACATCAATCGGGCTGAATTCTTAATAGCGCTCCATAAATTTGTGATGACAGTGAGTTTCTAAATAATCCTAAATAAGCTAACTAGAAAGCAGAACTAAGAACCCGATATGCTATGCATCAACGAAAAAGACAAAAATATAATCCCTGATACTCTTGGAGCTGGTCAAAGTTATAATGAGCTCTGTGAGTTGCACCTGAGAAGTCTGGAGGAGAGAGGAGGTCTTACATGTTTAATTTGCCACTTGTCATAATGATGATCCTATTAGCTCTCATAATAAAAAGGTCTTAGCTCTAACACCTGCACTGTATGCTAGCCTGACTCCCTATGGCTCACCACATCTCCTCAGATGAGATGTTAAAATGAGATGTCTTGTTGTTTTTTTCCTCAAAAGGTTTCTGTTTTTCTCTACTTTGTTTCCATTGCGGTTTGTTTATCCAGATTCCTTTTGTCTAGACTTTTGTCTCCGTTACGCTGTTCATCTTCTTATTTTTCACATTATTTTGTTCACAACGGATGATCTCCTAATTCACTCATTTGATATTTTCGGGGAGTTAGGTGTAGTGAGACTGCCCGTAGATCCTCTGTAAACAGGACTTGTACAAGGATTTGTTTATGGGAGTAGAAGCATTGGACTCCACCTTTGGCCATCTGTCAGCCTTAGCCAAGATAGGGATTGCGATCACAACTGAGGTGGATGATGTGTGGTTTGCATTTCTTCCTGCAATGCTACACCGGGAGAGTGACAAGGAGGGATCAGCATAAGACAAGACTCCTCTAGATGCAGTCAGAGGATTACTACTCCTCACTCAATATCAGCTGCCTTTGCATGCAACCTGAGACTTGCTGATAATTTTGTATGTTTAGATCACACACTGGGAGAGTCTGTGGTTCTAAACTTTTTCTGATCCAACACTTTTCCAGTCATGGTTGCAGTTAGCAGGGGTGCAGCTTTACCTCTGGTGTCACAGTGGCACACAGTCAACTGTCTGCAGTTTGACAAAGGCACAGCAGTCAGAGAGTGAGTTTAATCCAAACTTGTTGAAGTCAATCAAGTCAAAACATCTTTTGAAGCTGCAGGACGCCGGTTTGAGGAAAGTTAAAAAATGGCTGAAAATCATGACAACCACTTCAGTGCTCCAATGATGACAAAGGCACACTGGAAGAAACCCAGCCGTGTAAGTAGCTTTACTGTAGAAACATGCTGGACAGAAAACATCAGTAGATGGCAAACTAGAGAGGGTATTTGGCAGCATTTTCAGCAGAGGCTTGGACAACTGCCTCTCCAAATTGAGATTAAAGTTGCTAATGCAAAATCTGACAGTTTACGTTGCTTGTGTATCGAAGTGATGAGCTGAAGAAAAATGTATGTTTGCAGTGGAATATTTATTGTTCTATTATTAGTGTTTCTTTTAGTGTAAACAAACAGGTAACCTTACAACATTTGCTCAGACATACCCATGCTTTTTATGGCAGTATATCACAGCATAAAATTTTATGGCAAATGCAGTTGTCGTTTAAGTCCGAAGATAATATGTAGCTCAACACTACAGCTTCTATTACCCTAATCTCTGGTTAATGTTGTCGAAGCCGGTGTTATTTACTTTCAGGGTTTGTGGCAGACTGTTGTTTGCACATGGTGGAGGACTTTACTCATACTCACTCTGAAAGCTAAGACAAGATTGCTCTGTACACAAACTGTTTGACTCTGTCAGGCTTTACTGGCTGAACATTTCAGCCTTTACTTGACTACTCCAGTCCGACGTTTCCATGGACTGTTGTAATTCGGCATTTTTTG